ACACAGCATGCTGTGTTTTTTTTTTTTTTTTTCCTCACTTCCTCTTTCCACTGACTCCCACAATAGGCCCCACACATTTTTTTTTTTTTTTTTGCCCCGACCCTCACCCTCCTCCCGCCCTGCAAACCAACGCAGCCTTCCTTGTCCTCGTGCCCAGGCTGTGGAGAAAGCCCTGGGAGCCTCCCCAGTCCCTGTCTGTTTTTTTTTTTTTTTTTTCCTGGCTGTGCCCATGGGTCCTCAGTTCTCTAACATTTTCTCTTTTTTTTTTTTTTTTTTTGAGCTCAGATCCTGCTAGCCAGCCACTCACTGAGTGATTTCCAGTTGAATGTGACCGGGCCCCTCCAATGACCCGTGTCTACCACCCAGGCCACCAGACCCACCAGAAGCCCCATCGCCCTCCTGCCAGGGGCCTCCTGGCTGTGCGCCCCATCCCAGGTCCCCTTTTTTTTTTTTTTTTTTCCTCTCTCGCCCTTTGCATCCCTTCTCCATATGCAGCCTGAGACTTTTTTTTTTTTTTTTTCTCTCACGCTCCTGCTCCAGGGCCTGTTCCCTACAGGAAGTCGATTTTTTTTTTTTTTTTTCAGTGTTGTTCCCCATTGTGCAGCCCTGTCACTGGGCTGCAGGGATTCCCACCAACACGGCAAGACCTCGGGGCCAGAGGGCCGCGCCATCCTGGCTGGTCTCCCTGCAAAGCTGCTCACACAGATTTTTAAGGCAATGGGGATGGGTTGCGTTACATAGACTGTGTTTTTTTTTTTTTTTTTGAGAGGAGCAGGCGGGCCAGAAAGAGACGGTTCTCACCACACAATTTTTTTTTTTTTTTTTCTTGTGCACCCTTTTTTTTTTTTGATACCAGACATCACTGTGTTTTTTTTTTTTTTTTTTTGCGGCTCTTTATAGATGTGACCAAAGTGTACGTTGCTGGGGCTTTTTTTTTTTTTTTTTTTCAATCCTCCTGCCTCGGCCTCCCAAAGTACTAAAAATATTGCTGTTTTTTTTTTTTTTTTTGATAATTTTTTTTCTTTTTTTTTTCGAGATGGAGTTTTGCTCTGTTTTTTTTTTTTTTTTTCAGTGGTGTGATCTTGGCTCACTGCAACCTCTGCCTCTCAGGTTTTTTTTTTTTTTTTTTTTCAGCCTCCCTAGTAGCTGGGATTACAGGCACGCGCCACCACGCTTTTTTTTTTTTTTTTTTTTTAGTAGAGACAGGGTTCAGGGTTTCACCATGTTGGCCAGGCTTTTTTTTTTTTTTTTTACTCAAGTGATTCACCTGTTTCAGCCTCCCAAAGGGCTGGGATTTTTTTTTTTTTTTTTTTGTGCTCAGCCCCGGTTTTGTGGCTTTAAATGTCACCCATACACATTTTTTTTTTTTTTTTTGTCTCCAAGTAGCTCCCTGATCTCGCCCCAGGATGCCCCAAATGTTTTTTTTTTTTTTTTTCCATCCCACCTGCAGCATATAGAGCACTCAGTCTCCTTCCTCCCTTTTTTTTTTTTTTTTTGTTTTTTGAGAGGAGTCTCGCTCCGCCCAGGTGGAGTGCAGTGGCGCGATCTCGGCTCACTGCAACGCTGCTGCCTCCCGGGTTCACGCCATTTCTCCTTGCCTCAGCCTCCCGAGTAGCTTGGACCACAGGGCACCCGCCACCGCAATCCGACTAATTTTTTGTAATTTTTAGTAGAGATGGGGGTTCACTGTGTTAGCCAGGATTGGGTCTTCATCGTCCTGACCTGCTGTGGATCCACCCGCCTCGGCCCTCCGCAAAGTGCTGGGGATTTCAGGCGTGAGCCCGACTGCGGCCCCGCCTTTGGTTTTTTTTTTTTGTTGTTAAGATAAGTCTTGCGTGCTCACTCAGGCTGGGGTTGCAGGTGGGGCGATCATTAGGCTCACTGCAGGCTCACAACCTGTCCATGGGCTCAAGAGATGCCTCCTATCTCAGCCTCTCTAGTAGCTTTGAACTACAGGCAGTGTGCCACACATCTGGTAATTTAAAAAAAAGTTTTAGGACAAAGACGAGATCTTCCTATGTTGCTGCGGGCTTAACTCCTGGGCCCAAGCCGAATCCCTCCTGCCCTCGGCCTCCCAAAGTGTATGCAATTATAGACATTGAACCGACCGTGCGCAGCCTCCCCAATTTATTCTTAAGAGATAACTCCAACCTTCAGTTGGCTCAGACCCAAGCGCCGGGGTCCCTTCCTTGATTCCGCTCCGCGTTCTCCTATACCTTCCAACCATTTGTCACGCAAATCTGTGTCAGTCTACCCTAAAATAACACCTAGAATTTGCCCACTCTTTCAGCGGTCTACCCATCCTCCAGCACCAGCATTACTTTTGGATTACCTGCCAAGGCCATCCTCTGGGCGCCTGATCCTCCCCTTCTGCACCTGGCCTTCCCACATCTAACTGGGTCGTATTCCTCAACCGAGCAGCCAGGGAGGGTTCCTGTGCCAGGACACGTGTCCGATTTAACTCAGCGGAAAGGCTCAAGAGCCAGTGCCTAAACCTTGGTGCTCCCTCACCTCCTATCCCCCACCAGCCCCTCCTCCAGGCTCCCACACACCAGGTGGCGCGTCCCACGGCAGCCGGGTCGCCTGGAACTGGCTCTCACCTCTCGAGGTGCTACTTTAAAACACTGCTCACAAGGCCTTCCCTGAGCTCGATCCCAGTCCCACACCCATTCCCAGCAGCGCCACATCCTTCATCATCAGAGCCCTAAATCATCAGAAGCCCATACCGTTCCCGAGCACTCTTATGCCCCCAGCGTTAGCCTTTCTCAGGAGCCTTGTGGCACAGCTTCACTGATCTCACTCACGCTTGTTCCAGAAGGAAAAACTCAAGCAGGGGAAGGCAGAGATCTGTCCTGGTTTTGTTCCGGCACATCCCGAAGCTACAGCAGAGCCTGGCACGAGGTGGCACTCAGTAAATGTCGGCGGGTGAGT